AGACAGACACGAGTTTTTACAAACATTTAACTTCATCGTTCATGCAATAATTAAGAGATGAAGATGTTAGGACCATTATTTAGAATATTTAAAATAAATTGATCCTATATTAGAGTGAGCTAAAACAATTAAAATATAATTGAGGGATTTTATATTGCTGTGTTATCAGATACACAAAATATATTGTACCGAGTGAATCAATTTTGTGAAACAAAGTAGTTTGAACTAATGAGTATAACTGACTGTGTTTATATATTGAAATAGTTTATCAAGTCAGTAGATATGCCATTGAATTTGCAGTTAAGAATCATACGATAATGCTGGAATAATTACAGTTTTGACATATAGTATATAAAGTAAGATGTAAAAAAACACATTTTTAGATGACAATTCAATATTATCATACGTGAAAATGTCATCGGTGTTTATCTATTACCAATATTAAATATAGCTCGCTACTATTTTTTGCAATTTATTGTTTGCATAACTTACCATTTTAAAATTTATCTGCATTTTTCGCCGTTTTTATTTTTAGCTGTTACTTATTGTGTGACATCGATATTGAAAACAAACAAATCCATCAGCGGAAATTTTTTAAGGTATTAATCGATGTTTATATTCCCCACCCTCATGTCTCGCGTAACAATGATTCGACGTAAACAACTTGTTTGAAATTTATCATGAAATCTCAAAAGGCAAAAATTGGATTTAGAAGTTCATCGCGGTACGTTTAGTGGCAAAATAGAAGATCGTGCTAATCTCACGATTAATCACTCTGTCATGTCTGAAAATGAATTACTCGCAACTTATAAAACGATTTCTGCCAAAATAATGAGGAGTGAACATCGGATTTCAACCGGGGTTGGTTCCGCGACACCCCACCGTGCCAGTACATGGGGTTCCGCAGGTTTTCATTCAAATCCTAGAGCATATATTAATATATTCATATTGTTTGAACATAATCATTGTTATTAAACTTTATACACTTTAAAAATCATTTTATTTCAACAGAATTAGGTTCTTATAATTATATAATACATAAATATTGTTTACACAATTCAGACAATAAACGACAACTGAAGATGGGTTCAAATGCGTGCAAATGGGTTCCTCGGGCCTATGGGACGTTTCATTGGGGCGCCACTCAACTAAAAAAATTGAAAATCCCTTATTTCGAGATCCAAAAATGCAGTTGTCCATTTTTGTTCTTTTTATCGATATGTTTCATGCAAGCTAATGTAAGTGCTTCGCTATATAAAGCCTCTTTCAATAAATGCGACTCAGACAATGGCCATGACGCGACAATGTCAAATAGGAGCTGAAGGCTATTGTTTTGGGCGTTGTCGAAGACAATGTGTGAAGAATTGATTGGATATGATCACAATTCACAACACGATCAAACGATGCCAATACGATGATATCGTATATTGCATGGGCTCCTGAAAAGAACGGTTAACGACCGGCTACGATTAAAGGAAGCTCCAGGTAAGGCCATATTTGTTTATTACTTGGCAGGGCGTTTTTTTTTATCTGTATCGAGCGCTATCGCTATCGTTACGGGTTCTTGGACAGCACTAGGCCGAGGCCGAGATAGTATTTGCGTATTGAGGTTTTCTTTGCAAATTTTGAAATTAAGAGCCTACAACTCATTTAATGCCAGTAACCATGTAGATTAGTTCAACTTCAAATTATATATTGCTTCAATTTAAGTTTTGTATCCATGTTATGGTTTTGTATTGATCCTAATGGACACCAAGACGTAAAATGACGAATCTCCACGACTTTGCATAGTATACTACCCAATAACACCAGTAGGCCACCATTTGCTCGAGATCACTTTTCCTTTTATATTAAACTGCTTTCATAAAGAATGTTAATGTTAGGTGAATCGTTTTGATGATTTGTTGCTGTTGAGGCGAAGGTAAAACCGTAGCTAATGCGTCAATCGGTTTCAAATTTATAGTACATGAAAGTAGTAGCTAAAAACTAATATTCTTATATTAGAGTATTAATTCATTTACATTTTCTCTGACAGAGAGAGGGAAGGGAAATAGAGAAATGGAGAGGTACAGAAAGATTATTTAAACCTCACCCTGAAAACAAAAGCAAAACACAAATCAGAAAGGAAAGAATCCATGGTAATGATACGAACGTGCGCCACCGGGGTAATTGTGACAGTCCAGACAAGAGATGAATGAAGCTTGACACTTAATCAATTTCATTATTCTTCGTGAAGCATTGGTCACTCTCTACTTATTTTTCAGTAATTTACGACACGTTTAGCAAGTGGAAGGTACTGCTGCATAGAGGGGAATGGGTTTCATAAGTAGACCTTGATTACGACAAAACAAGAAATAAACAATAAAATATATATATATATATATATATATATATATGGAAATATACATGGCACGATAAGGATAATCATACTTCCGTACTCCTAGAAATTATAAATAAATATTTTGTATAATCTATATAAAAAACCTATTTAAAGCCTGGAGCAACAATGCTCAACTTATTCGAATCTTGCAATATGGTGCTATGTAATATAAGCATGAAATTTGGTGAAGGAGTTTTGGCTTACATGGTTCACGTCACGGTATATATTTTTCAATATGGATAAAAAGTAGGTTTACAATAATAAGATTTGAACAATACCCACTAGAATGCAGTCTTATGAACGGGGAATACCCTAACTTGCTCTCTGATGGATGCGTGACTCTTCGATACAACCTAGTGTCGTCATAATTTCTCGCCAAGAACAATATTGAATAATAACAAGAGAGATATGCTCAAATATGTGGATATGGAAGGGAAAACGAAATATTTTATCATCAGTTTCCCGAAAATCATATGCGGTGATTTTCCAGTAGGCCTACCTGTATCGCAGTATCGGGAACGTGTGTGAGGACTGTCATAGCTTTTCCAGTTCCTGGGACGATGATCCATTGTTCAAAATTCAGTTTCAACGTAAATTGAAATACCAAGTGATCCGAGTCACTTTTGTTTTACCAGATCAGGTACCGCAGTCTACCATTCCCCATAAAAAACTTCCCAAAACCATATGCAGTAACTTATCAGTACCTGTATCGGGGTACCGGTAGCGGTACGTGGACTGCCATAACTTTTCCCGGTCCTGTGACAATGATCCATTCTTTATGATTGATCCGAGTCACTTCTGTATTACCAGATCAGGTCCCACAGTTTACCGTTCCCCATAAAACTCTACACTTTCACGAGATCCGCCGGCGTTTGTTGAGCACGATATGCGTCCGCCACAAGGTGCGCACATTTTGGTGACGTCAAAGCACACAAAAAAACGAATCCCATAGAGCTCACAGAAATATTTGAAATAAATAAAAGTTATAGCCTTCTAGCTAAATAATCAATCCTTGACTAATGAAAATTTCAAAGCAATTGGTCTAGTATTGAAAAGGAAAAGCATAACAACAAAATAACAAAAACGATCCACAGGTCCACTATGTGTCTAACAAAATATCGATCTTCTAAATTTTAATTAGATAGCCGAACCTTGGATGCCGCTGCTAGATAACCATCTTTGGTTCTTCGCGTCTTCCCTTCCCCAGTAAAATTAAGTTCTCAACTATTTTGCATTGTATCTGTTTGTTATTTTATTGGTCGGAAAAAATAAACTTGACTATGACTATGAATGAAAGATTATGGATTAAGTGTATAAAATAAAAATGGTGTATGACAAAATAACACAGTGAATAATCTCAGTTTTTAAAATTGAAATGTGTTCTGTTTTTTATAATTTTCATAGCATAGTTTATATTATATATAAATAAATAAAACCAATACTGCTATTATTAAAGCTTTTTTATGTCTAGGTGGATATCTCATGTCTTTTGACACGGTAGAGTCAACTCACTAGGTGAGTATTTTCAAATTTCATTTGTCGCTTACAAAAAGGTACTATACCATTCTCATTGGAAACAAATATACCCTACGCTAAGAACGGACTTCCAAATGAGAGGTTTTCCAAAATATAAATCAGCGTCGGCATGTTCAAACAGAAACGAACAGATTGTTCTTGAGCAAATATATTTGCTGTTGGTCAACTATTTTATATTGAGGTTGACAGTCAGGGTTTAAGCGAAGTATAAAGTGTACGAACATGCAGTTTGTCACGTATAGTTTTTATTTTTGTCCAATTCTAGGATTATTGGTAAACAAATTGCGCTTCTGATCTTACATAGTACAGAAAATACTTAGTACAAAAAACATAGTCGCTGCAGCACGTCAGATAACTGGATGGTAAAAGGTACTAAGACCGGTGTGATCTAACTAAACACACGCTATGGTGTTGCTACTCATACACGTAGTTCAGGATTTTGTTTATTTTAATTTTTGCTTATAGTTTGTAACTTGATTTTCTAAATTTCCGATATATGTCTAACCGGCTGTTGGCGCTCATTTAATACCGACAAACATTCCATATAATGATAATACGAATTTAATTCATATTCAAACCAAAACCTACTTCAAATACCTTGTTATTACTTATTTGCGTATCTCATGACATTTACTAAGCTCATAAATGTAGTGGATAATTATAGAAATACCGCATTGTATTGTAACTCGAAAAATGCTACATCACTCGTTCAGAATATAAATTGCGTAGCCAAACAATATATCCATTTCTAAGAAAACCGGTCTGCGTTTTCAAGTGTACAAGTATGCATTATGCTACTGCTTGTAAAGACTCACGGGTCAGGTATTTCGCGAGGAAGCTCGTAATCAATCAAGTGAGAGACATCGTTGGGAGATACAGTTGAAGACATAAATTGTATTTATCGCAGACTCAATAGTGAGTGATTTGCTATCGTTTATCCGAATTCCTCGAATTGTTATATTTGCCAACAGTACATAATACCCTGAGAAATTGAGTGCTAGTCGAGAAGTGCAAAGTTTGTTGACAGAGGGTTATCCTAATGATAATTGAACTTAGATATTATTATATGCTACAGAATACAGATTATTTTGAATTTTTATTTATGTTCATCATATTTCAACTCTTATGAACTTGGATGTAACAGTTCATTCTTGAATGCAAGAAGACTAATTCCAAAAGCAACCAAGCTACGAAGCAATTGCGGTGGCGATGTCGAGGTAATTTTTGTTGGTTTTAGTTACTTTTCGAGCAGATGAATCTATTCAGTATCACCCAAGCATATACACGCTTTGATTTCGTTATTGGCTAAACGTATGCGCTATTTGAGCTGGAGTTTAGCATAAAAGGAGTAAGACTGTCAGTAGTCGTTTATATCAGAACGGATAGCAAACACGATACATATTCCTACCCACGTATTCAACAATTTTGAAATCACTATAGGCATTACGATTGTGACATGTAGCAGTATCCGTGAACCCAATTATTGTCAGCAGCTTGTTGATTAGAAGTTACATGTATTTTCAAACAATTAATTTCTTCGAATAATTGTCTGAAGATCATTTTGCGAATTTCATTTTCACCTTTTCAGAAAAACTTATGTCAAACTTTGTCGTGGGGAGGATGATTGGAATCAACTAAAATTGTGTTTTGTCAGAGCGTTTTTTGGATACCCTTTGTTTGAATATGTGATGCCAGAACTAAACAAACGAGAAGAGTTTCTTAGGAGATATTTGGAGGCTCACTACGATGTCACTGTTAGAAACGGAAACTCACTGCTTGTTTGTGTTCACTTGATGCAAGATAATGAAAGTAATTCAACCAATGCAAAACAGAAGGATGAGGTGAATTTATGATATGCATGTATAATTACTACTTTTATAATTTATATATGAAGAGATCTTGAAATTAGAATCAATGTCTTATGCATTTATGTTACACTTACGTTGAACGTAGTTTGATACATAAGGTTTGGTATAAATGTATTTGTTCCCGTGTTAATTAACAGATCTGGCACACACACACACTTAATTGCATGGTAGATGATGTTTAGAGTTGAAAATATTAACTATGAAACTTGTTTTAAAACTTCCATTCTTCTCAAATAAGACGTCATCTAGAACGAAGATAATTGGTGGTGTTCTGCTTACTGCTCCAGCAAAAGATGGTATCGGATGGGAACATGAAGATGATGACGTTTACGAACAAGCCTACAGAAAATTCCGACTGCATGAAGTTGATGAATTTGCTTTTGAAAGATTGATTAGGTAATTTTGGAAAATTAAAAACATCAATATTAGAATCTACTTCAAGGTGAATATACCTAATTCAACATAAATTAAATTCCGACTAGTAGCGGCGTAATAGCGCCCGTTTGTGGAGAAATTCTCCATGACGCTAATTTGATTGAAGCTTGGTAATCAAGATTGAAAAAACATACGCAAAAAAACATACGTGTTAAATTGGAAGGTTCAAGCAAAATGTTACACCCTATTTATTTAAATTTGATGTGTGTGGTGCCCTTTCTGATAAAAATAGTACATAAAGGGTTCTGTCACCTGCTTCTGCCTGTTCCTTCCATGTGTACTTTTTCTGATAAGAAGATGCGGACATGAAAAGTGATTCTTAAGACGACATTGCTTTGTAAAAAGTTTTTATCGCATATTATTAACATTCAGTGACAAAGGGTATTTTAATTTACGAAAACCATCCATCTACAAATTATGATTCTCTACGATGTAAACTATTTTTTCGATGAAAAATGAAAAATTTTAAAAGATTTGAAAATGACATAGCAGCATAAACATAAGATTTTCAAATTCTCATTTAGTTTTGAAGCCTGGGAGACGAAACACATCATAAGCAAATTATTTGCTTTACATGTTCCAATTTGGAATGGAGTATTCTGCGCCATTGATCCTTTGTACGCGAATGCTGGTGTGGGAACAATGAACTATGCAGACTGTATGCAAATCGTTGTTCAAGCTTATATGAGAAGCCAGGATAGAATTCAAATGCCTGTAATAGCGAGAAAAAGAAACACGACGGAAACTGAAAGTTGTACTTTACGTGTAGTTGATAAAGTGATGCCTACTTGCGACAGTAAAGAACAAGCAAAATACATGAAGCCCACAAACTCCATGTTCCAGAACAATAAATTTTGGGCTTCAATTATTCACAGTTTATCATTGCTCAGCCATCACCATCGTCCATTACAAAGTAGGTTTTACGAAAAGGCAAAACATTCATCTATAACTTCGACGAAAGTATGCTGTAGGAAGATAGAAAATGTTCCCTTGATGATAATGCTGAGTCAAAGTCAGCGTGCTGTTGAGTTTCATAAAAGAAATGGGTTTAATTGTGTTTTAACACAGCAATTTGAAGAACCAGTTTTATTTGACGATTGCGCTGTTCAAACAATCTTAGCGGAATACGTACTTGTGTGCGACTTATTTGGCAGAGGTAAATTATCAGAACTGTTCCACGAATTCAATGATAATTAAAAATCTTTGTTTTGTACGAGACAGCATTTTTGTCGTTAGGTGATGCTAAAGAGAAGTTCGTCAACCAAAAGTCACATTCCTCTAGTAGTGACAATGTTGCGCATACTATGGGAGATGGGACTTCGATTTTTTGGTAGCAAAAATCAATTGTCCTAAAATCGAACCTTTATAGTCTTATATATAAGCATGGCCGTAAGAATTGCTAGTCAAAATCGGATGCGTTATTGAAATATCTTAACAAACGTGCACAAAGTTTGATCAAATTAACCCGAACCCGTACATTAATAATTAGGCGCAATATAATAAAATTTCCTATCTTGGCGTATCGGTTCTAGTTAAATCTAATAAACTGCACCACTAAACGAATTTCCCTTTTGATGTTTGATACAAACTTGCTCGAACTTTTTATTAGTTCAATTCCCAAGCCCTCATTGTTGCGGTCCATTGAAATTCTAAGACTACGTAAAATTGACCTTAATACATGCAGGAAATCTGACGCTCTAAAAAATGGAAATGAAAATATTGCAATGTGAAATTATTATTGAAGAACACTATGGAAAATCAACGACCCATACCCCAGACTTCATGCCGATTGACCTCTTAATAGTCCATTTTTAGAACACATCAAATTTTTGTTGCACCAATTCGTAACTTGGCATCTTTCAGGGATGCATATTATTTACCGTAATAAAATAGGAGTAAATTTTTTTTCGTTTCGTTGTTTTTTAAATCTATAGACATTTTTTATACATGGGTAGGTGCTTGGCCGAATGAAGGCTTAGGTGACTTTACCGCATGATATCAGTGAATTTGTGGCATTTTTAACATTGTATAGAAACCTAAATGTCAGTCACCAACTTATCCGATTAGGAGTGTTTGATATTTCATGATATTTTTCACGCTTACTTATATTTCCATAATCTGAGCATTGAGTTTCAATTACCCATGCACTGACCGCAAACAGCTTTGTTGTGGATTAAGAGACGAGGATAAATGTGACTTAAATGTTTCGAGACAAGCTTTCTGCAATGGCAATCGAGCAAAACCAACACACGGACTTTTAGTGTAATTTCCTATTGCAACAAAGGCAGGAAATTATACTTATTATGTGTGAAATGAAGGAAATAATGTCTCATGTTGTACCATCTCGCTCAATCGATGGTACACAGTGTTATAATGCTATACTCTCATAAGATATGTTTCATCAATTTTGCTCAATGACATTTTAACTAATACCTTTTCGTCGACTTTGCAAAAAAAAAAAATTTATAAAAAGAATCTGCTTTTGTGATATCAGATGGGGAAGTGGGATGTTGCATTTAACAGGATATTATGTCTAAAAAATATGGTATGAAAATTTACTGTTCGTTTCGGCTTGTGCGTACTGATATTTTGTAATATATAGCCTTTACTGCACATCCAATTTAACGGAATGGCGTCGTAGTATGAAAACACAGGCATTAGAGGAAATGTGACGTCATATTCTTTTTAAAGGTGAAGTAACCATTTGGACATTGTCCACATATGGGAAAGCTTGTAAAAAACGATAATACTATTTTGTTCTTTATTTTTTCTGATGCTTTCGTGGTACGGGGATAAATCATGCAAGATAGCATGTGGGAACATACTACGTATATAGAAGCAGGTCATTGACACCAACATGACAATTTTGATAAAATCATACTTTTATTACGACGTATTGACGGAACATGACACCCCATTTAGAACGTGAATATAATCATCCAAGAAAGCGATTTCCATATTTATTACCATATTAGGTAAATCATGTGAAGTGGTAAGCAGTGATCCATCACTTTCATTACAGGGTATATTTCACCCGAGTTAAAAGATTCAAACACGTAATTTGGGTCAATTTACACATAAAAAGGTAAAAATAGGACTATGACAACCCTGAGCACACGATTGACGAAACACGTTACTTTGTGTTATAAATGGATGTCTAGTGTCTACATGCGCTCAAGACAATTTATAAAAAGGTGCATAAACTCCCCCGTTTTATACTATTTCAAATACATTAAGCTATAAATAAATCAATCTTAAACCTATTAAAAGTTTTTATGTGACAATATTGGTTAACCTACATGTCTGTGTAATATCAGATACAATAAAACCTCGCTAGAAATCCCCGTTACTTTATCCATCCAAGTGGAAACAGGAGAAACGCACATGTTCACGTGTTTACTTTTCGTATTGGTTTTCCATTATGAAGCAAACAACACAAATTTTTCACTTATTTACATGTCGATTATGGTGTCACCGATTCATATTATGACGTTATTTATGACCGTGACGTAATGATCGATCAGTATTCAATCTAGAGTCAGAAAATATTTATGTAAGATATGTTGCGATTTACATATGGCTCACACTTGTCTTCTTATGATGATATACATATTTTCAAAATATTTTTTGAAAATTCAGGACTCTTATGATCGCTTGTTGAACACAATAGCTTGACCTCATTGCAACCTTTGGTATATATTTGGTGAATTGTGGCATCAACTATAAATTGGTTGAAAATATCACATATGATATTGAATGAAATATCCCAACAGTATTTTTTATTTTTTATTCATTTACACTTGAAATGAAAGAAATATAAAGTAAAGAAGTATTTTGTTAAATTGTCAAAAATAATGGTAATCTATTTATTGCAGTAATGAATTGAAATGGAATAAAATTTCTTCGGATGGTATATTTACTTATACGGTGACAAAAGTTGGGAATGTGTATAAATATAAACTTTTACTCAATAACACAGTCTTACACACACGCATGCGTCAAAACACATGTAGTACGTAACTTTATTCAGCGTTCTTACGTGACGTTGCTTTGAGCGCACCATAGAAAAATTGCGTCAATAATTTGGTTGGTTTTTGTGGAACAGTAAATGCTGATGAAGGTATATTTGAAAAATTCTAAATTCTAGGATGCCAAGGTTTAGGATGGGGATGGTCGAACTACGGCCTGCGGGAGCATGCGCCTGCCAAAGTATTTTATGCGGCACTTGGAGAAAGTTAAGAAAATATCTTACTACATACTACATACAAAACTTCATTTTGAAACTATATTCAATTGAAGTATCTAACTAAACTATAAATTGTTAAAACAATATTACAAAAATTTCATCCTCAATTCAACAATGTCGGCCACCATTAAATGCGACTGAAGATTTTCTGAATGCGGCCCTTGCGAAGAACTTTGTCCACCTCTGGTTTACGAGATAGTTCATCGATTGATAAACTCAATGTTCGCGATATTTCATTTTGTACGTATAGTTTTTCAAAATGCCGTCTACCTAATATAAACAATGCCATTGCACCTGATCAATTTAATAATGAAAAAAATCAAAATAAAGTCAAATTTATTAAAAGTTTGCATTTGAAAATTTTATTTGAAATAAAAACACTTTTTTAAATTATATCCAAAATGAATATACTTTTTACGTCTTATCTGGCCCAAACGTCAGATTTTCTTTAAATACTAAGTGAAACCTATCAAGAAATTGAATACTCTCACTTTTGTCGCCTTTATCACAGTATAAATAGATTTTTTACTCCGTAGCGTGATAAAATCGTCAAGTCTAATATTCTCAATACCATATTAAGTATTTTAAGAATTTGTTACGGTAATGATACGGTAATGCTCACAAATCCTGAAGTTAAGAAAACTTACACTCGAGTAAATGACAAGGACTAATGAGAGCATGCACGATATATTCTACATAACTGAAGATATTGAAAAGCTTTTGGCACAAATTTTGTTTTGCGTATTTGCTACTGACAGCCTTGTAATAATTTATATGCCTTCGACGAAAATAGCAATTTAATAAATCTGCTTGTGGTATTATGAAGAATAATACAGAACGTTGTGGTTTTCTATTCGCGGAATTGTATTGAAAACAAATAAACGTGACAGATATCGAAAAAACTTAAAAAACTCTTGTTTCCTATAAATGCCTCTAGAGTATTATTGCAAAGAAGAAGGCGTAAAATGAGTCATGTGATTGATATATAAAAGTAGCGGAATCAGAGCAAAACTTATATTCAGGAACAGACAGCGAGTAAAGTCATTCAAAAACCAGACGATTGTGACGTTATTAGGAATCATATTTTTTCCAATATCTAGGATACAGTCAGATGACTAAAGAGAAGAAAATGACAAAGTCAGTAACTTTCATTCAAAATTTTAATTTAATTTTAATTCAATCAATTTTTTTCATTGAATTTTTAATATTTTTTTAGAATACAGTAATTTATAATTTATTGAAAATGCATGTATCAGTAGCCTATAAAATATGATTATTTTTAGCAAAACCCGTATTGAACTATCACATGGAGAACAAGATTGGACAGAAGTCAGGGAAAGCTTCGTTCGAGCTTTTCATCATTATTCTCTGTATAAATACTTAATACCAAACGAACAAACGAGACCAAAATTTTTAAGAAAATATTTAGAAGCAATATATGATGTCACTATACGTAATGGAAACTCTATTCTTTTAGTAGGAAGAACAGCTGAGGATGTAAGTGTAGAAAGTAATTTTATTATGAATGATTCATATTACATTTTTATTAAATAAATACTTTCCTATATCATATACAGAACACAATTATCGGAGGAGCTATGGTTGTTCCTCCAGCTAAAGATTATGGAGGATGGGAATGTGAAAAAGCTGATAATTTTTACGAAGCTTATGAAAAATATAAATTGAGAGAAATCGACCATGAAGCATTTGAAAGAATGGAAAAGTGAGTAACATTTCTTATAACTTACTGTTAGCATTGTCTGAATTTTCAAAAATGAATAATGATTAACATATATATTCAGATATGAAGAATGGGAATATGAAAATATATCAAAGCACGTTTGTTCAACTAAAGTACCGTTATGGAATGGAATATTTTGTGCGGTTGATCCCAAGTATGCAGGGAAGGGACGTGGAAGTCTAAGTTATAGTGAATGTCTGAACATAATAAATAATATTCGAAAAAACAAATCCTGCAAAGAAAAAGAATTTAGGAAAAGTCGAGTCAAATCAGAAGAACATTTACATGGCATCGTCCAAAAACTTCGCAAGTTTTATGAGAACCAAACTGATTCAGAAAAATTGATTAATCCTGTAGAATATTTAACAACCTCTCGTTCGTCAACTACCCGAAATCTTCCAGTTCACATCGGAACAAATAGAGATAAAAATGGTCCAATACATGGAGATGAAAAATTTAAAAAAACTTCAAAAAAATCAATGAGATCCATGATATTCATGATCAGTCACAGTCGACAAGCAGTTCATTTTCATCAAAAGAATGGATTTCAATCAATTGTAGATATTCCGTATTACGAAGAGCCTGTGCTTGGGATTGGCGATTCACCATTCAATGTTAATGTACTGTTAATGGATCCCCTCGAAACCGGAGGAATCGCTAAAATTAGTCACGCACTTTCGCATTGTGGTCGCATATCGACCAACCATGGATCTGAACAGTCGTACTTGAAGCGCATCAGGGGATTTTATAATTTAGCGGAGAAATGCACATTATAAATAAATGTATCAAAACATCCATTCCACATATATCCTACATCACCTTTTAATGTCTGCAACTTTAATATAATTTTTTATGATATCTATTTTGTAGTTTAACGATATTTATTTAACATAAAATTATTTCGTAGTTTTATTTTGTGAACATTTCTAATTTATATTTGCAAAGTGGACGAATTCATTCTTATTTTTGCAACACCTGCGTGAAAAAAAATTTAGTTTTTAATTTTTTTTTATTACTTTTATTATTTATCAATATACCAGTTTCTAATTAGGAATATTATTGTTGCTGAATTATTTGCCCAATAACCAATTAGGAATGCGCTGGCTTAACTTCTTTGTCACCAACTGGTTAAAATAAAGGGGTTTGATCTTTATTCAGTCCATGGTCCACTCCTAGTCATGCACTGTTCTCTGGTATATAACATAGGAAAGTGAAAATTGAATCAGAAAGAATAAAATATCCAAAACAAAAAAAAAATCGTTAGTTATTTTCGGGAATGAAATTAGTGAATGATTAAAGACTTAGTGAATGGTTCAAAACAATGAAAATGTGTAATGTGTCACAAATATGCTTGTGAGTGTAAGATTCACTATTGCTAAATAACATAATTAGAAAAATTACATATGTCCATCAACCAATAAAGATTTACGAACAAAATATTGAAATAAGCCGAATGAAAGTAATTAAAGGGTTGTATGAAAATCACAAAATGAATAACGATGGAAATGTTTTAGATTTCAATTTAAGATATAAAAACGACAATAAACGATTTCGTCAAATAGGTAACTTGCACCGCAGCTGACGACTAACGTTATAGTCGGCGTTTCAAAAGTTATGTGTTAAATTTATGTAAAGTTTCTCATATATAGTGATTTTGATACAGACGAGAACACCATTTCAAAATGTTAAATCCCACCACTGAATATGGCTTCTATCGCATCGATGGTTAACAATCCACAATATTAGTTGAAGACTCGTGGCCTCACATCAAGCAAGTAAAAATAAATATTATTAGTATTTGAGTATTTTTAATCGAGCAAGCTAATATACATCTGATTTGTTAATGAGTTTGTTTGCTTCCGCCAGATTTTTGTGTTAATCTTTGTTTGATAATACCGAAAAATGAAGAACAAAGTCCGGATTGAAGACTGATCTCGTGAATCGATCGAGCAGAATATACTATAAGTAGGAAATAGTCAGTTGACGGGATATACGCGCATATGCCCTATTTTCTATATGAAAAATTCAATTATTTCAAATTCTAAATTCAGTCTTTTTTGTCGCAATTTTGTAATTATACGATACATCAAAATAAGTAGTGATTAATTACTCGAAAAATAAAAACGTTCGTAAAAAATAGGTATAGGGCAGTGGTTCTCAAACTTTTTAGGCCGCGCCCCCTTTTGAGAATTTGTCAAGTATCACACCCCACCCTAAAAAAACTGACTAACTAACAATAAGCTACAAATAACAGATAGTAAGGCGAAAGTTATATAACAGATAAGTAATAAAAAAAGGCACAACAGCTCTCTGCAATATCTAAACGATAAAAAATGTAAATATTTAAAATAAGGCGGGCAAAATCAAATCTAATAAAATTTTTATTTTCAATTAGCCCCCCCCCCCTTCAAAAAATCGTCTTCGCCCCCTTGTGGTGCGCGCGCTCCACCGTTTGAGAACCACTGGTATAGAGCAGGGCTACTCAACTATTGAAGATCCACATACAAAACTTCAAAATTATTTGGGTCCGGTCTTTCCAGAAGTCACATTTTTTGGCATCCTTATTCGCACACTTCCTCGACCGGCTTATAATTATTAGCTAATCAAGATTGTTTATTATGGTGTTATATTTCTTTACATATATATGCAAAACTATAAAAGTCATTTATAAAAGGGAACTTTAAAAGTTGGGCTAATGATCCAAGCTAAAGAATTAGGTGCGGTCCGAATCAAATACTCGAAAGGTCCGGATTCGGACCGCGGTCCGCCAGTTGAGTAGCCCTGGTATAGAGTATTACGATCATTTCAGAATATTATGAAATTCCTATATAGGTATTTCATTGTGGTTAAAATCTGAAACTCAGCAAACTATATCGAACCACATTTGCATATGTTTACAACAAAATTGTTGACAGAATGGTAACTGATATGCCAAACTGTCGTCATCTCAGTAACGCATACGTATATTTAAAATTAATTTGATAACCTGACCCTTCAATGGACAATCGAAAATGATATGTTTACAGTTTCACAAGGTGCGAGTTTAAAGCTTGTTGGCGGTAGTAGGCAGCAGTCTTTTATATCAGACAAACAAAATATACCAGAAAATCAGAACAAAATATCAGAAAAGTATCAAATCGTTTCCGATTGTAGGACGTTTTGTGGGAAAATTGCTTTTAATGTTTTAAAGTCAATTATATCGTTATGACCAATCGATTCAAAAGCAGGTTTGAAATTTAAATAGAGTTAACGGATGTCGCATGTGGGAAGGATTGAATTTGATATTGATCACGGCGAGTTTATCTTCAGGTCATCTCCATTTTCGGATGAAATGATGACCGAATCAAAAACTACGTTTGTGCAGCCTCAACTACATGTTCATGTTTTCAAACAGGAAGTCAAAAAATGTGACGGCGTTTGCTGCGTCTACCATCCGCATATTATTTTGAACAACCTTGTTTTCGACATTTGGTTAGCGTTCAAAATAAAATGTCCCACTTCCATGTCGAAGCATGAATGCTGACATGCTGCTCAGGATTCCAATACTTCTCAGCAATTTCAGCAAACATTATTAAAATGATATTACTAAAGATAATACAGTTGTGAGTCGAATCATTTAGCATTCAATCAACGTTGGAACAAGACGCGTGAAATATCATTGTCAAGGGACCAGGTAAAGCTATGACAGTCCGGGAACCGGTACTTGTAAGTTACGATGGTCCACGGGTTCAGCTTTATCCAAGATATGATTTTTGGGAATTTGTGAAATATTTCCTTTTGGTCTACGTGTCCATACATTCGAGCATTGGTATTTCGTTTTATCGCCAAACAGCTTTATTACTTCAAAACTTGCTTGAAATACAAATTTATGTCGAATCTATAAGAAACCTCGTCGAAAATGTTTTAAGTTCTCCAACGAGGGATAAGTTTACGTTGTCAATGTCCGTAGTTGGAATCATCATAGTTTACTTCTGCCATCCAGACACAAGTACATAATATTGATATGTTGGTGACATCATGTATAGGTATACAATGCATTTCCTCAATTATTATTTTAGGCAAAGCTTCTTATGTTTTCTAATCGTTTTTTTTTTCAAATTGATTTATATAGTCCATGAGTGAAACTGAAAGTCTTTTATTTCTAGTTTCAAATTAAATCATTTATCTGTTCTTGCCGCATCCTTATCTACAGCCACTGCATCCTTATCTTCAATTATATTTTCGATAAAATCAAAAGTAGTGATTATATAAATATTGCACTATACTATGAACTCTATGGCTAATATTTTGTCTAGTTTAAATTTGATTTTAAAAATGACATTACGTTTGGTTGAACCTAGTGTATGTTTATCAAATTGCAATAAATAAAAGTTAAGAATTAATACAGCATCATACTGTTTTATTATATACTAATAATACTAAAATGTTAATTTCTTCAGGTAGTATGTACTCTTTTATTTTGAAGATAGAGATGGGAAAATTATAATTTTTCCTATTTTTAAAACAAATTTGCAATGAAATGAATATTCCACGTACAGACGCAGTTGCAATCATTATATAATAATAATGGTCCAACTGATCAACTACCAAAAGAAATATGGTTTACCAACAAAACAACTACAAAACCCGCGTGGTAATTGCATATTTGAGTTTGAGTTTCCAATATTTATCAGATGAATCGTAAATTTAACAAACTGTCGCGACTACCTCTAATTTTACCAATGTAAAGTAACAATGATGCACACCCACTTCAACTAATATCGGTATAAACTACTTACCATAAGTGTCATTAAAATGACGCAGCTGCATGGAATGGAAAAATTACATAGCGGCAACTTTCATATATGGGTGGTTGATGTAATTAGAATTATTTATAACAAAGAATTTTTTCAGAACCATCCACTTTCAGACGCCGTCACATTGGTATTTGACGATTACCTAATGTACTTGAAGGTATCTGCTTAAAAAATGGCAGATATAAAAATAAATTGTCATCATTGCATTTAAAAACTACAAGATAACACGACCTAATAGGAATTATGAGATTTTAGCTGCACGAGAGCACAAACCACCACTCTTCTGTGAACTAAACGTTTGTTTTAAAGTGACAATACTTTTACCACACATATATATATATATATATATGAAAAATGTAATAAAAATAGAAACGCTGAAGTTGAATACAATTTATTAATTTCTATTATTGTGGGGATTTCGTTCTCCTGTATCTTGTTTGTATTTGTGTAATTATGGAATTACAAATTATATGTTAAAAAATATCAGCAACAGGAATTTTTAGATTGTACTACTTACAGTGAAAGAAATGCGGTATAGTCTCAAAAAATTTCTCAGATAATTTGTGCATGGCTTGTTGTGATAAATAAAATTTCACTCAAATGTTGTCATGTCGCAATATCATGCTTACGCCTTTATATTTCAGTTGCAGAAACGAAATGTATTTTATTCAAGCTTCTGAATTCGATATCAGTTTTATTGAAATGGTAAAACTCGTTTTGACATGCTTGCTTTCAAACTAGTTTAGAATCTTGAACGAGAGTGAAATGAGAGAAATATATTGTTCTGTCATAGATTTGTCATTATGACATGTATTTTGCATTTGTTTAGTTTCAATTTCGATCATATACTTCCGGCATGTTTTATAAATTAGTACGCAGTTTCACGTTTGCGACATCCGGATTTGAATGTCTGCCATAAAACGTGTCATTTATCAAAAGGCACCGATTGCAGAAATCAAGTGATTGCAGGTGACAGAACTTGCAACAAAAACGTAATCTCATGGAAGCTAATCCGTAACGCTAAACTCAGTACCGCAGGGAAAAACGATCACTTCTTCCATACTATGCGGACTTCTTTTGCATAGTACTTTACTTGTAAAGTTAATTAGGTATTGAAAACGACTTGTTTCGTGTCTGATATAACC